CGAAAATTCGATTCAAAATTCGAAAATTCGATTCAAAATTCGAAAATTCGATTCAAAATTCGAAAATTCGAGATGCTTTAGAAAATCATCCTATGATATAAATAAGAGGACTGTCTAAAAGGTTTATTCACTTGTTAATTAAATTACTGATTTGAACGTGATTTAAAAAACGTGATTTAATTTGCAGATTTTCAATTACGAAATTGAAAAAAAAAAATAATTTTAATCATGAGTGAAAATATTTCTATGGGTGATAAATCACATGATGATGAGAATGATACAAATGACGATTCTTTGCATGAAGAGGACGAGGTGGACAAAACAGCCAAGATGATGAAAAAAAGCGAACAACAAATAAGAAAAGTAAGAATAAAATACTAAAAATTATTAATAATGAAAATTTATTTTTTGTATTTTTGAAAAAAATGTTTAGAAGGATAGAATGAGTAACAATCTAAATATAGTAAGTAGAATTGACTGAAATTACTAGTAGAATGTAAAACTAAAAATATTTGATTTTTCAGCATTTCGATGCTGTCTATTTCGACAAAATCAAATTAATTTTCATGGAAGAAAAATACCAATGGCCATCATTCGATTCCAGAACCGAGTGTTGGTTGATAAATGCTAATCGTATTCCAACTGAAATGGATAATGAAGAATTATACAAGAAGGATATTATTCATATAATCAACATAATTCATCAGGATCTTGTCGGAGATGGTAAATTATTTTTATATTATTTACCAGATTCCGACTGGAATAAAATATTCTTCAAAATGATTGACAAATATCCAGGTATTAGAGATCGGTTTAACCGTTTCAATACAAAATCCGGCCAAACAAAAGATCCGTTGATGGTAAGATAATTTTTGATAATTTAAAATTGAATCAATTATCATTAATATCTTTTCATTTATTCTGAATAGGTATATTTGATAAGCAAAGTCCGCAACAACAAATCTACAATCAACCAACGTGAAAAACGACAACGAAATAGACTTACCACGACTATCGAAGTAGCAAAATCGAATGAAGAATTAAAAAAAAATTAAAAATCATCTATTTTAATATAATGCCTATGATAAATGTTGCCATTCATATTTTCCCAATACATATCTTATCGACATACTGCCTTTGGAAATTTTAATATATATATATTTTAATATTTTACATTAAATTCAATAAAAAATTAATGGTTTAAAAACAATTAATGGAATAATTTAAAAAAAAAAATATATATTCGAATATTTTCAAGTTTGACAAATGATCATTTGCGCATAGTCAAATGCTAACTATTTTCAATACAAATACGACCTGCACCTTTGATAGTGTAAATCGTTTTAGCGCGTAAAAATTCTCTCGCGGCTAGTGGCGGCTAGTGGTAACTATTTTCTATACTTTTTCTCGTC